CACCTTCAGGCCAGGGCGTGATCCTGGAGACCGAGGATCGAGTCCCAAGTCAGGTTCCCTGAATGGAGCCTGCTTCTCCTTCTGCTTGTGTCTCTGCATCTCTCTCTCTGTGTGTCTCTCATGAATAGATAAATAAAATCTTCAAAAAAAAATAGAACGAAAAGGCAATTTAGTAAACAGAAGAAAATTTTTGCAAGTCATATATCTGATAATAGGTTAATATCCAAACTACACAAAGAACTCCTACAACTCAATGGCAAACAAACAAACAAACAAACAAAATTAAAAATTGGGCAGAAGATCTGAAAAGAAATTTTTCCAAAGAACACATACAGATGGACAAAGACAAGTCAAAAGACGTTCAACATCACTAATCAGTGGGGAAATACAAAGCAAAACCACAATGAGATATTACTTCACACCTGTCAGAGTGGCTATTATCATAAACACAAAAAATAACAAGTGTTTGCAAGGATGTGGAGAAAAGAGAACCCTCAGATACTTTTGATGGGAATGTAAATTAGTACAGTCACTATGGAAAACAGTATGGAGGTTCCTCAAAAAATCAAAAATAGAACTATCATATGATCCAGTAATTCCACTTTTACGTATCCATTCAAAGAAAATGAAGACACTAACTCAAAAAGATATATGCACCCATGTTCATTGAAGCATTATTTATTTGTAATAGCCAAGATGTGGAAACAACCTAAGTGTCCATTAATGGAGGAATGGATACTGAAAGTGTATGTGTGTGTTGTGTGTGTGTGCAATGAAATGTTACTCAGCCATAAAAAAGCATGAAATCTTGCCATGTATGACATGAATGGACCTTGATGGCATTATCCTAAGTAAAATAAATCAGAGAAAGAAAAAAATACATAATGATCTCCCTTATATATGTAATCAAAAAACAAAAACAAAACAAACAAACAAACAAAAAAAGCTCATAGATACAGAGAAGAGATTGATGGTTGCCAGGGAGGGACAGGAGTAGTAGACAAAATGATGAAAGGGGTTACAAAAGTACAAACTTCCAGTTATAAAATAAACAAGTCCTGGGATATAATGTACACCATGGTGACCATAGTTAATAACACTGTATCACATATTTAAAAGTTGCTAAGAGTAAATCTTCAAAGTTTTTATCACAAGAAAAAAATTTATAACTATGTATGGTGATGGTAGTGATTTATGGTAGTGATCATTTTGCAATATATACAAATATAAAATCATTATTTTGTACACCTGAAACCAATATAACCTTATATACCAATTATACTTCAATTTTTAAGAAATCCATGAAATATTTTCAACCTGATTCAGTGATGTCACTTGGCATGCTTTCTACTGAAAACTTTTATAAATTGCAAAAAAAAAAAAAAGAAAGAAATTAATTCTAAAAGGGATTTCAGAAAATTGGCAAAGTGAATTTTGGCAGTAATAGAAACAATGCAGACATTCTGTTTGAGAAAAAAAAATACTTGTTTGGCAATAGCACATTCTAACAACTTTCTTGCATATTTCTTTAGATAGTCACAATTTAAATGGCCAAGTTTACTTTTGTGTTTGAGTAAAGGAATTTGACCATCAGAGATCAATAACATTCTAGTTTGTCTCTTTGCAGCCTAACATAGGATTAGGAAATAAAAAGCTAGTTCCTGCCAAGTAAGGATGATGTGAACAGAGCATTAGCTCTATGGTCTATTAGACCTATATGTCTAGGTCACTAGTTAGAATTTGGGGTAATCAACACCTGGCAACTCTAAATGCACCGCCAATGGCAACAGCCACTCAGCCACAGATAGAAGGTCTCTAAGCCTTCTGAATCCATCACTTCTGGGACCTCTACACTCATCTTCCGATCCATCAGTGATAACAGGCATGTTCCTGCAAATGCAGAACCATAAATATTAAAGTGCTTTTGATCAAACTTGGGGCACTTGGCCAGCTGCATGCCACTAGTAGTCTCTTATTTTAGGCTAAATAGACTTTGCTCACAAACAAATTGAAACTAAAATTCTGTCATGAGAACTCTGTTCTTTGCCACCCTAGTAAAAAGCAGTTGTAAATTTGTTACTTAAAAATACTTCTGAGAGTATTGGATATAAACCTCAATGGTACACAAAAATTTTAAATTAAGGATTGTTTTCATTATGTTCCCAGTCCCTGAAACCAATCTTTGGTATACGTGGGACTCCTGAGAAAGGCCCATGGTAGCAACCAGCTTTTCAGGATTCAATTCTGGCTTTAAGATTCTCAGTTTTGGGGGCAGCCACAGTCGCGAGCGGTTTGGCGCCGCCTGCAGCCTGGGGTGTGATCCTGGAGACCTGGGATCAAATCCCACGTCGGGCTCCCTGCATGGAGCCTGCTTCTCCCTCTGCTTGTGTTTCTGCCTCTCTCTGTCTGTGTCTATGAATAAATAAATAAAATCTTAAAAAAAAAAGATTCTCAGTTTTTGTCTTCTATAAACTAGGTAGGTAGTAGTTATCTTTATTCACATTAAAGTTTTTAAATTTTGTATTTTTAATGCATCTACTAATTTGCATTTTATTTAAATAAAAATGTAAATATAAATAATAAACAAATAGGTAAATAGATTGATAATTGAATAAGTATCAATAAATATCTCAAACTGGTACAGTAACCAAGTCTTTCAGAGGCTTATAAACCCAGCCATTTGAATTTGCTTTGGGCCAAAACTTAGCATTCAAAGTTGATGATGGAGATGAATATTGTTTTTCCAAAGAGCTGTTTATATTGGTTAAGCTGTCTCTTACATGTAAAACAGTGGGGAAAAGGGAAAAGACGAACACTTTCTCAGGCTTCTCATGATTTTTTTAATCTATTCTGTGCAAAAATATGGCTTACAGTTTATTGCTGAAATGTAGGAACCTAAAGATTCCCAGTCCACAGTTTTTTTTTTCCAGTCCACAGTTTTAAAGTTAACAAGTATCTCAATTACTTGCAGAATAATGACTTCCAGAACTTTAATACTATTCTATTAACAGTTATACCCCTTCTACTCATGCAGAGGAATTCTAACAAGAGCCAGGGACTCAAAAATGCCCAGTTGAAACCATGCCATGACAATGCATCATTTTTATCATAAGTAGATAAACCAGTAGCTTGTATCATTTTTCTTCCATGAGGCAAGAAGCTGCCATAATTATTTCTTCATAATAATTTCAATTTTACTAAAATGTTTCTGAAAAGAACAACAGGTCCATGTTTGCATCAAGTGCTATCTATTTCCACCTTATAGGGGTTTTTTTCTGTGTCTTAGCAAAGGTGTGAAATAATATTTAAGATACTAGAAAAGGTGATTTTCTTAGAGCAAATTAAATTTTATCCAAATAACAAATAGAATTATGCCATAATTAAAACTTAACTGACCAGTTTGTTAAAGCCACAAATTAGTCTAATAAAGTTTAAACCTAAACCTTAGAACCTTCATATTCATCATGATCCTTGTCTAGAACAGGAAGGGCATATTAAATACAAAGTCCTATATCATCAGGACTTTTCTATATTACAGATGGTGCTGTTAATGATGTAGTAATTTGGGATAAGTGTGCACAGGGCCAAAAAAAAGAGTCCTGAAAGTCTGGATTTTTTTAAAAATTGAAATTCTTGTTGGAAATCTGCTACATTTACTTTTCCTTTTAAGGAACAATGATAGAGAAATATTTCAATTCATTGGATGTTAGTTAGCTATGTTCTGTAGGTTTATAAAAATATAAAAGCAACATTTCATGAGGAGGTTAGAAAACAGGGCAGCCAGGGGAGATTGAAGTATATTTTTATCTCATCTTGAATTTTGAATTAAAAAGGGACAGATTAGACCACATAATGGAAGTCACAGTCCACTAATCAAATGATACTAAAAATTTTTTTAATGATTTTCCCTTTCTCATTTATTCTCCCTTTTGCTAAACACAAGTAACTCCTAAGTGATCATTTTGATAAATAAATCCCAGAATAACAAGATTTATCTGTAGCAAATATGTCCCACAGCTGGAACTCATGAAGCATGTATTGCCTGTTGTGCCAGAGAGAGTCTATTCCAACATTAGCTTCTAAATTCCACGGCAAATTAATTAATACATTGAGAGAAATGGTTGTCTAGATATATTGGAGAATTTTGAGAGATGGACATTTAATAGACTGCTGTGTCTTTGATTTGAAGTCTCCCTTTAGTCAAATCAGTTGCTGAATTCTCACTTTAGAACTCTGCGGTCTTGTGTTTCCTGTAGTACTTCGATTATTTTCTATATGAAAACATACTTATTCCTATGTGGCATGAAGGAAAGATGAGAATGAGTTAGCGTTTTAATTTGGCTTCTTTGGTTAACCTTTGAGACGCTTCATATCTCAATCCCCCATTCATGACTTTAAAAATGGGTTTCCTTACATATTTCTTATGTTTATTTTGCTGGGATTATATACAGTAATTATTTTTTAAAAGAAAGCTTACTGCCCATAAACAATGCTATATAGATAAGCTGATCCCATTTGGTATAAGTAAATCAGAACCAAAACCCTCTCCTGCTACTGTAATTTTCTCAGTTGAGTGATTACAGTAGAATCAGAGAAAGACAGCCACAAAAAAATTACCTTCTTCTCAATCTCCTGCTAAATAAAGACTCTACACAGGAAAAAATAGTTATAATATTTAGGAGACCTCATTCATCTCTTATGCTCATTGATTTTTGGTGTTCTTGAATCACCAGCATGACAGTAAACCAAAACTGTGTGCGACGCTGTATGCCACAACTGCTTCCCAGGCTTGAGATTGAAACTCCTAAATTGTTTTGACTGAGCAACTAATAGCAATTTAGATAGTTCTCTACAAATTTAGAGACATGAGATGCAAAACCATTACTGTATTCCAGCACATTCTTCTTGTCAGAACCACTTAAATCACCATCTTACACAAGCACATATTGAAACTCAACTTTAAGCATTTTATTTTTATGTACATTTCATTTGTCCAGAAATAAAATATCTAAATACAGACAGACTGTAATGTTGTATATGTATAGCTTTCAACAATACTTGAGCTGAATAAATGCTTTGTACATTAAGTTTGTCTTTTTAATGGAGGTCACAGCTACATTGATAAAATGGATTCCTCATATCCTTTTTTTTTCTTTTTTAACCAATAACAAGCAGAGACAAGTACAAGTTAATATTAATAAGCAGCTCAAATAACACTTGGTTAAACTATGTACAATACAAACCATTCATACAAATGAAGACTAGGATATTGAATTTGTTACAATATGTGTAGTAAAGATAAGACAGACACTTATAACTTACATGGTGTCTGTCAGGCATTTCCCTTCTTATATAATGATCAGAACTTGTTTTAAGCAGCCTTAGCTGGTCTCAACTTTGCGGAAGTCCAATGACTGGTGATGAAAGCTGTAATCCAATGTCTGCCCACATGTAAATTCCAAATGTTTGCTCATCTTTACTGAAAACAGGCTCCCTCCAGAGAAAAAAGAGCCATCTTATATTACCTTGAATGTGCCTACTGTATGCTGGAAAAAAGTTACTACACTTTGTTGTGTTCATAAAATAAAGAATACTGAGCTCTAAAGACACATTTTTTTCCATTTTAACAAGCATATACTCCTACAGTAGTATTTACCAGTACAGCTACTCCAAGCAGTAGGAATGCATGAGTGGGGATTATTGATTAGCATGTACTCAAGACTTTAAAAGAGATTTCCATAACAGCAAGTGTTAGAAACCATTCACTGTCTAGTTAATCCTTTTGCTTGATGACAGTTTGTCCTAAACCATTACGAGTCAGACAATGAAAGCCCTCTTGACAGGAATCATGACAGATGCAAGCTGAAATGTATATGAATGGGTGTTTGTGTACACCTATGAGTGAGAGCATGTCTTCAAGTGTGCATTTAAAATCTGTGGTGATTTGCAACTATACTGAGAGATGAAGCTGACTGGGCAGAAATTACATCAGATTGTTTTCCACTAGCGTATTTGCAGCCAGTTGACGAGAGCAGCAGTGTAGACACATTCCAGGCAACAGATGTGACCTTCTTCTGTGAGGTAACAGCCCTGTCATATGACCTTTAGTTCCTTAGGCTTCAGTCTCACTCACGTTCATCCTCATCCGGAAGGGAAGTAAGGTGTGTCACTGTGGTAGTTGTAGTCGGGGCACACTTTCTGTACTAGTTTATAATCTGTACTATAAAAGGAAATGTAAATACAGATCACCTTAAAGGGCTTGGAGCAGAGCCAGGATACATGACTTTGGGTCTGCTCCTGGTAACAGGTTTTTGAAGGATCATAGTTGCAGAGTGTGTTCTTGGTAGCCTTGTCAACCTTTTCATATTCAATGCGACAGTTAAAGGACTTGGAATCTTTGGCATCAATCACGGTTTGTTGTGCCAAGTCAAATTCCACTATTTTTGTAGGGGGCACCAAGCTGACAGATACATTCCCTTGACCAGTGGAATTATGCCTGAAATAAACACTGAATGTCCCATTGCCGTGATCTACAATTTTCCCAGTTATCAACAGGTTTAGCTTCACTGTTTTGATGTTGGAATGAAAATCACCCCATCCAAACATTTTCTTAAACTTGCCCGTCTTAACAATGGGCCTTCGCTTGGCCCTGGGCCGAGGCTCTTGAAGGTCTGTGGAGTTCCTCAGCCAGTCCCAGAGGTCTTGCTCAGAATAAGGTTCTGGGGTATCATAGCGCAGGTCTAAATCTGTATCATTTTCTTTGCCACGAAAAGTCTGTGACAGGAGTCGGCTGATAGACAAGTCTTTGCTGCTTTCTGTCCATATGTGCTTTAGTGTGGATTTGCTGCTTCCTGATTTTAGAAGTTCTGACTTTCCACCATTTGTTAAATTGGCACATGTGACCTGAAAATGGAACAGAAATATGGTGTTTACATCCCTGTATCTGAGAACATCCAACCCACAGATCTGCACCCTTTCTCAGAGGCTTGGGATGAAATGAGGACACTTCACTTAAATTACCTTCAGCATCTGGCCAATATTTATTAAGACATGATAAAATGCCACTTCTGTTTTCATGTAAGATGGGAGAGAGGAGGCGTAGGGGCATAAAAGTCCCCGAACATGATTGAAAAACTAGATAAAAACATTGACTTTGACAAGGAAAAGACTACCTAATATGAGTATAGCAAAATGAATTCAAACACAAATCAAACCAAAGTTTATTTCTGTGCACTAAAATCCAACACTTTTAAAATAAAAAGTTTACAAATTGTTATTTGTCTACCTCAAAATTACTATAGACTTTAAGACTGTATGATTCTCAAAACTACCTCAACCAACATCATAAAGACTTTCAGTAATTCTTGCCACAGTCATATTAGAAAAGTCACTTTTGCAAAGAGATTCTAGTACATTTTAACCGGTCGAAACAAAACATGTTTATTATTACCAATTATTAGCATGGAACATACTGTATAAGATATCACTTTTTTTACCTTAGAGGGCTTAAAATGTGTACTAGGAAAAGAGATCTAAATGAAAACATCTAATACACAATGTCTTAGAGATAATTGTCAATCTAGAGAAGCAAACAACAACAGAGAGGTCATTTTAGATTGGATTGTGAGTCAAATTCAGAAACCGTCCTCCCAGGACCCTGGTCTTGTCTCTTTGGAAGATTTAGACCCCCAACTAGACCAGGGGTTCAGAGGAAAACCCTAAATATGACTGGTGTTTGACCAAATCTGTACTGGCCAAGTTATACAAGAATTGTCCTTATCACAGCCCCGATATCTATGTTTAGTATAGAAGAAATAAAAGAAATAAATGAGTATCTACAATGTACTTATTAGACTAAAGTTAAAGCAGTGACCTCTGATCCTAACAATGAAAGCTCAAGGACAGTAGGGAAGACAGCCAAGAACCCCCAGGAATCTAAATAGCCAATACAAATAAACCCTTTAATATGTGGACTGCCTATATGGTAAGTCTGCTAAAGAGAGTCCCTCACTGCCCATTAAAAAGCCAAGTTTCACAATATACCTCCATCTCCAGTCCTGTTTCAGACATGAGCCTGATTACCACTCAGCAGCCTCATTTGGGCCCTCTAGTTCCCTTCCAAGCTCCCAAAGTAAGAGGCCATTGCTGGAAAGCTTTTTAATTCAGATCTACTAGGAATTAGAACTGCATTCTAAAGATCTCTCTATAGACTTAGGCATGAAGGCTTCTTGCTAAGTTACGACCGTGGCTTGAGGATAGCCTTTTATTCAGTCACTTGCACTAAAAGGACTCTATCCCAATCCCTAGGGAGGAAGGGCATCAACTTTAGAGCTAGAATACCAGAAATCTATGCTAAGCTCTGCCACTGCCAAGCTATATGCCCTTGGTCAAGTCATTTAACATCCCTCTACCTCAGTTTCCTGCATCTGCAAAGTGAGAGTAGCAATGGTACCTCCCTCCCATATATGGTGGCTGACACATAGAAATGGTTCGATTAAATTTAGCTATTTTGATAAATCCCAAGCTGCTGTGTGAAGACAACTAGAGAAAAAAAGGTCACCAAATAGTACATGTGGAGGTCTGCTTTAAGGGTAGCTTTGCTCTTGATTACATAGCCAAGTACTCAGAACCTGCATGGGATGGGTTTCCCCAGGGACATACATGCAAGAGGCTTTGATAATATAACTAGAACAAACTAGAACAAAGTCACTTAAATCTAGTAATCTTGCCTTTTCATAGATTCCTCAGAATCAATGAGCTTTCCATTGCCAGTTGACAAGCAGTCTTTATCTCTACCCAGGTCAAATTGAGACAACGTTAGTGGTATGAATCCATTCCTACCTGGGGAAAACTAACAGCTAAAGCTAGTCTCTTCCCGGTAATGCTGAATTTAAGAAACTCTGAAAGTTTAGTCCCACATGAACACATTTCATCTGAGAGAAAATGGATTTATATATCCCATGACTGCACCACGAAAAAACAAGACTATGATGCTGGGTAGGCTAACACAAAAGCTCTGTCACTATTTCAAGCTGCTAGCCTGGGTCCAATTGCAACCACTGTGATCCTCAAGGCAATTGTGACTCCTTTATAGGAAGACCCAAAAGGCCATTGTGCACAGAAGTTGCTAGTGGGGAGACAAACACTGACCAATGGAGAATCAGACCCTAGAGGTGGGATGAGGTGCGGAAATAATGCACAAATTTTAGTGGGGTTGGGATGCTCATATCTAAGGGAAGTGCAGATTGCCCACATGTACACAGTCTCTAAACTCTTAAATATATCACCCAACCAAAATGACCAAACTTGAGGCAAATATAGGATAGGAAATTGAAAGAAGATTATGTTTGCTGCCAACTTTCTTTTATGCTAGGTACTTCCCTTTCAGTTCTCCTCAGCCCTTGAATTGGTTACTCTCCTCTTTCCCCCTTGAACCCAAACTGTTTCCTCTTTGCAAATTCCCTTCATGCCAAAATATTCCAGAAATGGATCACATTTAAGCAGTAGATGAGTAGTAATAGCAAAACGGCTGCCTTACCAAAATTCAATTTGTTTTTTAACAAGGACTAAATATTAAGTCTTAAAGGGATGAAATTGAGAAGGAAATATCCTTTGGGGAGGGGGATGATGCATTAGAAATGTATGAGTTTTCTTAAGAAAAAAGCATGAAATTTCTTACCTATCCTCTCTACCTGATAATAAAGTCAATCCTCTATGGGACAATTTTTACTCTAATATGAAAAGTATAATCTCTAGTAGTTCCATAGTTAATATTATATCATTGTAATTTACCAAACAAAAACCAACTACAGTTCTCCTCCCAATTCACTGAAAGAAGTGCATTTCAAAATAACTTTTTCTATAACACAGCTGTAGTATAAAATTTAAAACAAACATTAACTTATAAGAGTAGTACAGACCTTTAACTTAGGAGTTTATTTTATGTGTATTTGTCTGTCTTACTTTGTCTCGATGAAATCTTATTAATTGATTTCAATCTAATTGAAATCAAATCTCTATTTGCCTGATTCTATAAATGTTATCCTTAACATAGCCTCTATATTTAGACAAAAATTACAAGAATAAATGCGTATTCTAATCTCTTATTTTTACCTGGAATTACATAAATAGTTTCCCATTCTTCGAGCAACAAGAAAAATAAATATAGGCATGTATTTGGTTTTGGTACTTGTATCTCAGCATCAATACAGATGATTTAGGAGAGGGGCTATAATGAGATGCGTCCATGGTGCAGTGGCTCATGAAGCAGTAATGAAATTGTCCCAAAAAAAGGAAGTAAAGGGAATTAGAGTGCAACCCATCAGCAACATATGAAAAGTGAAAGGGAAAAAATATGGAACTAGGAGATAGGACTTTAAAGAACCAATCTATTCAAACAGGATGCTAAGACTGACAGATAAACCTCTGAATTGGGGGTAGGACAGAAATTTAGTTCTAAATGATACTCTCCACAGCTGTAGTGATTATGAGTGTTAGTTCTGGAGTCAGATGGCCTGAATCCCAATCCAGGCTATAATCTTCAACAGCTATATGATGTAGGCAACTGGCTCAACTTGTTTATACTTATCTTTTTCTCTTCAAAAAAACAGAAGAATGCTCACTTCCCTCATAGAGCTGTTGTGTAAATTAAATGGGACACTCAATTTAAGTCACTAAGAGCAGTACCTGGGCCATGGTCAGTGTTCAGCATTATTATTAACATCCTCAAATATCTAAACCTCTGAATCTCATTGGATAATATTTTATGTAAATGAATAATAATAGGATATGAGAACAAAAAATATTTTTAGAAGAAAATCTTCTTTTTACATAACCAAAACTCTTAAACAATTAAGAAAGAAAGCATGTATTTATGAAAGTTCTGCTGTGACAACCAAAAAATATGGCAAGTTGAATAGATACTAAAACACAAGTTAATAAAGGATAAGCATAAGTTCAGCCATTAAACTCCTCAACTACCAAAAGCATTGAATTTATTTGCAATGTGAAAGTCTCCCAGTGGTGCTGATTGTCAAGAAACCTCTCCAGAACATATCAGTTTGAGTACAAAATCAAAGCAGGTTTCAGCTGTAATTGTCAACAACACAGTCTTGAATATTCCTTTCCCTGGTTAGGAAAGAACCAGGGCAATATCTAAAAGAGAGTATCAATCATGAAAAACTGAGAAGCGTCCTTAGGAAAGTCCCTGGATCTGTTGAGCACAAACAATCTGATTTATTTAGTTTTATTTGTTTAATAACTATATAATGAGACTCTGCTGATACTGAATTAAATAATAGGAATACAAAGATAAATGAGACATGATCCTTGCCCTCAAGAAGTTCACAGTCTAATGGGGAAATCAATTAAGCAAGTAACAATGTGATGTGACTAACACTATGTACGGCATTCTAGTAGTCAAGATCAAAAGGTAGAAATAATTCTCAGATCTACTAGATAAAATACACTTAGGAGTTCAAAAGGGAGAGAATAGGCCAAAGGAGATCTTCTAAGCCTAAGGAACATACTGTGTAAAAGCACAGAGCTGAGAAGGGACATGTTAAATGTTAAGAATGGAAAATAGCTCCTTACTGCTGAGCCTTAGGGAGTGCCCAAAAGAAGAAATCATAAGAAATGGGTAGAACTTCAAAAAGGTGGGCTAGGGTCAAATCATGATGTTCTAACTAAGGAATTTGAACTTAAACTTAAAGGTATGGGGAATCACTAAACTTTGTTCTGTCTTGCTTTTGGTTTTGTTTGTGTGTATGTTTTGTTTTGTTTTTAGAAGTTTGTTTTGCTTTTAAGTAGGTCATTTTGACTCTAGAAGAATCACTAATCGGATATTGAAGGGTGAATTGGTAGGGAAAGATCTTAAAGGAAGAATGACTGGTAGAATGTTCATT